TTTTCCTGCCGATTCTCCTAAATAGTTATTCCGTAAATTCAAATTTGTCAGGGTGGTATTCTTGCATAGTGCCTCGGCCAGTGCTTTTCCTGCCGATTCTCCTAAATAGTTATTCCGTAAATTCAAATTTGTCAGGGTGGTATTCTTGCATAGTGCCTCGGCCAGTGCTTTTCCTGCCGATTCTCCTAAATAGTTATTCCGTAAATTCAAATTTGTCAGGGTGGTATTCTTGCATAGTGCCTCGGCCAGTGCTTTTCCTGCCGATTCTCCTAAATAGTTATTCCGTAAATTCAAATTTGTCAGGGTGGTATTCTTGCATAGTGCCTCGGTCAGCATTTTTCCTACCGATTCTCCTAAATAGGTACTCCGTAAATTCAAATTTGTCAAGGTGGTATTCTTACGTAAACCTACAATCAATCCTCTAACTACATTATAGTGTAACATTTTATTACTCATGTTTAACTCAGTTACTGAAATATCTCTGCATAGATAATCGGCCAAAGCTTCCCCATCATGGCTCAACATAAATTGACTGGGATTAGATAAATATGATGCCGGTTTATCTGGTAATGCGAAAGTTAAGTATTGAGTAACTTTTTAAAACTTATTCTTAAAGAAATTGGAAACGTAATTACCATTGCTTTTGATAAATTTTGGTTCTATTATTTTACATTAACGTAAGTCAAATTGCGTTAAATTATATAATTAATAAACTAATTTGAATACAAAGTAATAATACCTTCGCATATGGTTGTTTCTCGATAATTAACTAATTTTCTACGTTTTATTTGGCCTATTACATGCAATATTATATAAGTTTAATAATAAATAACTATTTATCAAATTTAAACTTAAAACTTACTAGTTTTATCATTTAATAAGAAATCGATAGTATGCTTTAATGAAGTCGACGAACTTTTACCATAATTTAAACTATCGGCGCTTTTTATAAGTTCGGAACAGGATAAAATATTGAATTAATAAATTTGGTCTTTAATGCTTAATTTTTCAAATGTAAAATGTTTACTTACGTATCATTCATAATATCAAAAGAACAGGTAGAAAAGGAATCTGCAAAATAATTTTTTATAAAAAAAAGCATCGTAAGTTAATTGTAGTTAACTTTATTTATAAAAAATTGATAATTACCTAATGATGATTCTGTGCTTGTAAATAAATTTAAGGTACAACTTGTAGTTTCTATAACAGGATCTAATAACTGACTATAAGATTTATGTAGAGGGAGCACGATTCTTTGTTCCTTTGTCAATTTCCTGGATTTTATTTCTTGTAGTTTTTTTTCAGCATCGTAGAATGCTTCACTAAATCCCCATTTCCATTCCGAAGAATTTATTATTTGATATATTTCATTAATTGAAGGTCTCTGTGAAGGATCTTGATGCCAACACTTTTTCATTAAATTAGCCCACGGTTCTGGTGTATCTTCAGTAATTTTAGGACGCAGTCCTCTACATATATCCAACGCAAGATTGACATCATGCGCTCGATCATTGAAAGGACGATTCCCTGTTGTTAATTCCCACATAATTATGCCTAAACTATAAATATCAGAGCTAAATGAAAATTGTTTTTTATTAAATATCTCCGGCGCAATATAAGGTATAATTCCGTATACACTTGATCCTGGATCCTCATTCGCGGGTCGACTAAATCCCAAATCAGAAATTAATAAATTAGCAATTAATGAATCATTATTTTCATGTATTAATATATTTCCACTATGTATGTCACGATGTATAATATTATTTCGATGAATCCATTTAATTCCAATAACGAGACTTCTTAGGAAATTTGCTTTTGATTTTTTTTTCTTTTCTTCCCAGTCCATCCATTTGATATTATTAAAATGCTTGGATAAATATTCATGCAAACTTCCATTTTTCATATAAGACATAACAAATATATAATTTTTTGTTATTGGATGTTGCGATACTCCATAATAATGAACAAGATTACGTATAGTTGAGTTAGGTTGGATTTCACTAATATTCTGCAACTAGATAAAGAATTGATATATTTTAATAACCCATTAGTTTACGAATTAAATAAAACTTTTTTACTTTACCTCCTTTATAAATGCCGAGTTTATATTTTGAGAATCTTTAAGGACTTTTAATACAACTGTTATAGGACCTGTCCGAACAAGTTTTTCTCTAGAACAATCCATCACCCTTCCTTTTGTCTATATAGCAGTGGATATTATACTAAATCCGCCCTCTGCAACCTTCTGGACATCCACAAAATCCTCAAATGAGATCCATTCTAACCTAAATTGAATATTATTTCTCTGTGTTGCTTTAATCAGATTGTCAATATCTGAATTCCCGCTATTAACAGACTGGAATTGTGCAGAATAACATCCAGTACACAAGTCTACATTCCCATATTTAAGGGACCTTTTTTTATTGCATCCAGAGCATTTACCATACTTCCTATTCATTCTTTATTTCATCAAATATTATGAAATGTTTCGAGGAAATTATTAAAAAATAAGATTAAATAACCAATGTTAATGATTTAAATATTTATTTGACAACGATATCTAGTTTCGATTTAGAATGTACATGTACCACGAAATATTATTCCGAATTTATTTTGTACCGTGCATACGTGTTCTAGAAATCTGATAACACATTCTATTAAAATTCCACAAAAAAAAAGAAACTTTAGAAATTCCAAGAGTTCTAAACAGAAGCACTTAATATTCTAATCTTATTTTCTAATTAGAAAGCTATCGTTCTATTGTTATTAACTTTATCGTTTAGTTTGTAATTTAAATCTTACTAATTACAGTAGTTAAAGAGAGATGAGATAAATTTTCGAGTTTAGTCATATTTTATATATTTTATACTTCACTTACTGTACCGTTATTGCAGTTTTTCATTATTACCAATAAAGGCGAATACAATTCATCATCTTTCATGGGTAATTATTTTCGAAGGCGAACCGGGATATCTTGGATCCTATATTGTGATCTTAAAATTTGCTTTATGCGCATTTTTGTTTAAAAATGGAGCCGATAAATCTATTTTACATTTTTATCACCCTTCAAAAATAATTTCCTTGGGTAATTACCCTGAGTCAGCGAATTATGGGCACGTGATTTATTTTTGTTGATTCCGAAATAAAAGTAAATATGAATAAATTAAAAAAATAATAATAAAATAAAACTTGTATAGAAGAAACATATGTAATTACCATTTTTTTTTGTAATCAAACAAATATTTAATATATTTATTTAATCTTTGGAATAGAAAAAATAGTGGTATAAGTATTTTATGTTAAATTATTCTACCACTTGAATATTCTTTATTGGTCTAAGCATAATCTTAGAAATGAATTGATTATTTGCCATGTAATTTGATAATATTCTTTTTTTTTTTTTTTGCTTCTTATTATATTAAAATTTTTTAAACATATGGCTTATCTTTTTTTTTTTTTTCATAATTTGATTAGAATATTTGCTTTTAAATAATTTTTCAAGTATTTTTGGATATGATTTATTGATTTATTATTTTTTTATTAAGATATATTTTGTGTTTATGGATTTTTTTTATATCTTAAATTTCATATTGTTAATAAAATTTATTTGCATTATAAATTTAATATTTTATAAAAAGTACCATCTATTCCATAATATTTTTTTGATCCAAAATTTTATACTAAGATTTATTGATTTTTTTTTAATCGTTTGTTTCAGTTATTTGATTTTAAAACAACACTTCAAAAATAAAAATAAATCAATAAACTTACATAAACTTACAAATATAATCTATAATTCACATAAATTTAATATAAATTCAAATCGAACAAAATTATTAATTGCATATACAAAGCGTACTTAATAGAGTTATAGTATGTATATTAGAGATAACCTACAATATATACTATATATTATAATCTAAATTATACTTTAAATAAAGGTTCGGTATACAGTATATGGTATCTAAAGTCCACTCAACATTTTCGAATGGTTATTTGCTTCTATATCATGGATTACTTTTAGTTTAATATATATTTTTCCACCAGAGTCAATAATGAATGAATATGAAAGGCAGATAAAAATATTGCTGAAAATTAGTAAACAAATATATAATCTAATTTCACCTACTGTTCAAACCGGAAGTAATTTCCAAAGATATATAACATCCTCAAGATATTTTCCTGATGACAAAATACTATTTTTTTTTCCTCTCATTGCTCTATGAATTTTAATTAGTCATTGATCCACCCATCCATTTCTTTACCGTTTATGTCGTTATTGGTTTTTTCAAATCATTATCATTAAAGATTATATATTTGCACTCTTATGTCATTAACCATCTAATTTCCTAAGTTTCTGGCAAACTGATTCAGCTGTCATTAATCAGGATTCAACAGAAATTATTGATTTCATTTTATTCCCACCAAAATACAAAGTTAACTAAATAATTAACGCGAAAATATAATTACTTACATGGATGTTAATGGATAAAGACCAAGGCAATAAAGTAGTTGAGCATCACTTTAACAAAATCCCGTAACTAGTCAAGCTTCTACAGAATGTATGTATTCAGCAGATTTCCGATTTTCCATGTCATTCTCCATTACACTTGGAATCCATCCTGTGTTCGGCTTGTTCTTGTTCTTGTTCTAAAGTAGAATATAAGTAATAAATAACATATTAATAGATTTCTGAAATACAATGGTTTTTATACCTACTTTTGCTACTTTCGGAAGAGATCCCAATAATTTAAAAACTCTGTTTTTAATGAAACAGTTTAAGCGAAAGCACGCCATATTGAATTATGAAGCCCTATGACAATAATTAAATAAAATAAGTCGTAAAATTAAGATTATCGATGCATTCTTTAAATTAGGGTTGAATTTCTTAATAACTGTAATTTCAATTAAGTTGAGTGTATTTATCAAACACTTGTGCAGTTAATGTTATTTTGAAATTCCGGTATGTAGTTACAAAGGTTTGCATCCAGCTTGAACTATCGGTTCTGCTCATTTGTTCTTATGAAAAAAAAGACGTCTAACTAGTTAACAAAATAAATAGACTAATACAACTTATATTCTTTGTAGCCCCTTCTGAGTACAAGTTAACCAGTCACAATCATGCGGTTGAACAAACATACATAAGAAGTTTGCAATCTCTGACACATTGACCCTGGCCACGTTTCGTGTTGAACGAACAGGTAAAATAATGGAGACCTTCGACACCCCCAAAGGTTATCTTACAAGTGTATTGATCACGGAAGATTTGCACATAAACTCTGGGTCATTACTGCTGGCTCCAAGCTGTCTAACCAAGTAGTCCACCTTTCGTGTTGAACTGCAAGACAGGCTTGGCGGTCTCTATGCAACAAAAAGAGCGTATGGTTTGTAAAAAGAAGTCAAAGTTTTATACTTAACCTTAGAAATTTTTTCTTATAAGAACGTGGTTTTAGAACAGGAAAAATTACGCGTCACACATCCTTATTATATATTTCTCGTGAAATTCACGTGCATCGTGACATGACTAGATTGTAGACTAGACTAATAGCAAGATCCTCGGAGCTGAAGGACAAGTGATAACACTGTGATTAGGCTGCGCGTTAAAAAGTTTTTGTAAATTTATAAGTTACTTTCTAATGGAAGTGATAGTAGCGTTTTAGATGTTATATACTTCTTTATTTTTTATTCTATATTTTCTAAAGGAAGTAATTATAATATACTGTATATTGTAACTAATTTCGTTTATATTTAAATTAAAAATCAACTAGTACCATTTAAAAACTTTATTTCAAGAAATATCATGGTAATTACCATTTATTAAAATAAGTTACTTTAAATTATTAAATCATTAATTTTTAAATAATTATTAATTGAAATCTAATTTATTTGTAATGATTAATAAAATTATAAGTATAGAAATATTTTTCCAACAATATTATATAAACAAAAAATCCGGAAGCAAAAAAAAAAATAATAATCTCTTCTTTTTGAATATCAATATATTTTTTTTATCTTTAAAAAAAAAAAAATTTACTTTTTTATAAAATCGAAATCTATTTTTCTTGATTTTTTAAAAAATCATTTAATAATTCTATTTAATATATTTTATTTTTATTTGAATTTAAATATAATTATATCTTTTGAATATTTATTATGTTAAAATATACTATATATACAACATATTAATTAATTAATTTTATATTTAATTAATATATAAATATTTTCAATATTATTTTATTTTTATTTTGTAATAAAAAGTTTATAAATATGTATTTTTATGTTAAGTATAATTTATTTGGACAAATAATTTAATTATATTTAAAATTATAACTAATTTAATATATACATTATTATTATTATTTGATTTGATTTTTTTATATTGTTAAATAAGAAATTTTGAATAATTTTATTAATTAATTTTATTAATTAATATTAAAATAAATTATTATATATAGTTTGATTCAAAAAATTAGCAAATTTAAATTCATTAAAAAAATTATTTTAACAAATAAAATTGTTAAATAAGAATATATTTTATTAAAAAAAACTCTTTCTTACAACACTTCAATTTGTAAAAAAATTTCTTTTTTAATAATAACATAAATGGCTAATGGTAAATAATTAGCAAGAACTTTTCACTAGAAAAAAAGTTTATCTTCATTTATTGCAAGGTATATAAGTTGATTGATTTTTTATAGAGGAATAGATGCTTTGGAAGTAACAAAAATCTTTTTAAATAAATCTTTTGCTTTATCAAGTAAACATTATATAAATATTTTTTTCTTTTAAATACCTATATATACATCAAGAAATAATATTTTGTTTTTTCTATTTTCTGCTAATAAAAACTAGTATCAGATTAATAAATACAATCTTTTAGTTAGTTATTAATTTTTGCTTATCCTTATACATAAAAACTAAAATTAGCTTATCTCTATCAAAAGATCTACAATATACAAAATATCAATTATATTTTGTATTACTCAACTATATCAAAACAACACAATAACTTATTGGATTAAAAGAATATATAATTAATGCTCTGCACACGTTCTAATAAAAACAATATACTATATCTTATCAAAACAAAAATAATAAATATTTGGAATATATAAATTCTAGTAATCTCATTATCAATACTATTATTTGTTCAAATTACATTATAGTAATATATCTTAAAAATTCATATAATCAAATCAATCAAGTTACTTGTAACTTGCATAATGTTCCAGTTTACCAAAAACAATTAAATGCATTTAAAAACTATATTTAACAAATATTTCGACATTATTTTCAACTTTTTTTTTTTCTTCTTTAATTTTATTATATTATAGTAATCTTGTCTCAAATATTTTTTTATTTTTTATTTTTTATAATAGATAGTTTCTCAAGTTTTTCTTGCTCAAAGGTTTTTCAAATAATATATTTGTTAAATAGGTGATAAGCTTATATTTATAGTAATATAACTTATAGCTTAATATTAATTATATAACATTTACTTTATTAATAAAGATAATAAGTATGTCTCATTTTAACATTAAAAAAATATTCTATAATAAATTAATTTTTTTATAATTTTGTTATTAAAAAAATATGAATTTTTTAAATTTTACAAAATAATAAATAAAATAAATTTAATATTATTATTTAAACATAATAAAAAATATTTAATAATTTTATAATTAATTTTTTTAAAAAGATTTCCTATAGCAAGAATTTATTTTCTGAATAGAATTTATATATAACTCTATTTAAAATTTGTAATTGTTTAAAAAAAATTTTTTTCAACTTTAAATTGATATATTAAAATAAATCACTAATTAAATATTCATAAAACTTTGATATATTACTTCTTTTATCATAAATAATATACAGTATATTAAAATTTTTATTTATTTTAATTATCATTTATCAAATTACAAAAAAAATTCAAATCTGTTTTTTTTTGGACCAGACTATAGATATATATATTGTTATTAAAAACAAGTTTATTAAAAATAATTGTTTTTTGAATTCATAAAAAAATTACAACTATTAGTTTAAATTACTCTTTATTACAATATACTGTATATTATATTACATTTATAAAATTTAAATTTGATTAAATTATTAAATTATGATTTAATCCACACATACTTTATCTATTTTAATTTTTTTAAATGAACTCACGTATTCAGTATACTTTCATAAGACCTTATTATTATTATTATTTAAGTGAACATTGAACCGAAAGTAAAAACTTTAAAAAATGATTACACAATACAATTGCAAAAATAAATATCAAAACGCATTATTATTATAAAAAATGGCTTGTTACTTATCATCAAGCCGAGTAGTATCTATCATATATTTCATTTTGGACATCAAGAAATCTATATTCCGACATCCTAGATTAATTTTATATACGCCATGCACAGCAAACGTATATGAACATGCACTTCGATTTCATTGAAATAATGTAGGGCTTTATGAACTCAATAATCCTTTAAGCTTTAATTAATCTAAATTTATAAATTGGCGTATTAATGTATCTTTTACCGTTTGTTTTTTTTTTAAAAAAAAAAATCATTTCGACATTGTATTAATTGGTAATATAATAATTACATTTAATCAAATACGTAATATACGATATACTGTGTATATGTATGTGCAACATAAGGCCAATTATAAGTTATCAAATTCTATCATACACTGTTAACCATATTTTGACCAGGTCAGGTCGATACTCAATATCCGACGAGGTAAGATTCAATTCGATATCATTCTTTAAAGGAAAACTGTTCCGGATATTTCAACGATCACCGAATTACCATTGACATCTTTCGACGCGCTTTCGGCAACTCACCCTAACTTGATTAACTCATTGAAACAGATTACTGTAAATAGATTGTCGATCACATTTCTCGCCTCACGGGAATAGGCGCAAAAGATAATAATAAGCCCCTCGA